CAACAGGCTTGTTGGCAAATCTAGAGTGTGTTTGCATGAACAAGGAGCATGCTTAATATTAGAACCGACTCTCTAAGGATCTTGGTGATGGAAGTATAAACTGACTGCGGGCTTTTCGCTAACCAATGATCTCCAGTGCTTGTCATCAAAATTCTGCCAAAGCACTCTGACTGCTACATTGCTGTTTATCATGATGATACCTCAAATCTGTGCCCCAGAAGATTGTATGTTATGGCTGTAAGCTTACACTTGTATTTACATGAAAATCCGTCAAGACGTCACGAGGTTCTGCTTTGAACGGCTACCGCTTTGAGCATGTTTGTCAAGAGTGGTTTGTAAAGATTTGTGTTTGCTCCCATAATGTAATTAGTAGTGCTCACTAAGGATTTGAACAAACCCTAATAACTCGTCCCTCATGTGCCACAAACATTAATGATGCTTCAAGTTATGGAACTTGTTGAAGAAAGGTGTCGTGTTAATTTTCTATGTGATTGGACTTCCCGAGACATGGTAAACGGACAATTGTGGCAGCAAATTTTACAACTTCTCAAAACATATAATTAATATATTATATAATAAGATGTATTATATTATATATGTATTTTAAATTATTTATTAATATGTATTGTCTTTTTAGTCACACTTTATTTTAAGGTCCAATTATCGCTGTTAACAAACAATTTTTGTTACTATGACATAACTTATGTCATAGTAACAAAATAACTATGACTTGACTTTTGCCTCAAACTCCTAATTTGCTGCTTATTAATAGTTAGTAAGGTAGTTATTAAGTTTAGGTATTGGGTAGGATTAGGGATGTAGAATATGGTCATGAAAAATATGTGCTCTATACGTGTTAAGTAGCCAGTATGTTAATAATAACCATGCTAATAAGCTAATTGTGTTAATTGTGAGAATTGGTCCCTAAACTAAAGTGTTGCTATATTTTTCAACTATATTGAAAGCTGAAAAGTGTGCATCCTGATATTTAAACAGTTTTAGTTTAAAAATAGCACAGCAAAATATCAAGAGATGTGAAAGCATATGTAAATTTGGTTACAATTCATATCAAAATATGTATTTTGAATATGCATGTATTATGAACACAATGTGGACAACAAATAACAAACAATAAGAATTATATTACAGTATTGTAGTAATTCTAATGTTATTTCAGTTGGATTTTAGTTAGAGTAGAACTGACTAATCACAAATGTGGTCTAATTCTTATATGATAAAGAGTATGACATGATTATACTAAATTTAAAGAAAGTTTTCATATTATTGGGCTGACTTTTGCACAGGCAAGCACCACACACCACATTCTTTGATTTGTGTGTGTGTGTGTGTGTGTGCATGCATTTATTTCATTATAACTTCTCAGCTGTAACCTAACATATAGTGAACAAAAGTGTAAAAACTCTTAGAACAGGTAATTGTGGACTGCGTGCATTGAGTTTGTCCTCGTTTCAAACCTATCCCACCTGAAGTGTGTCACCAGGTCTTGCGTCAGAACGTTCCAGAATGGACCACTGTGTCTATTCCCCCACTGGCCCCATTAATTAAGACCCATCATCAACCGTTCGCCCCCCGAGGGAGAGACAGACAAAATAATTAAAATGATCAATGAAGAGAAACTACAGCCCATCTAAAGGTGAACCCAGCCTTCACTCCCACATAAAACTAGACCACAGGCTTCGAAAAAACACACTAGTAACACATACGCCTTCTCGGAACCCAGAGCAGCTTTTGTTTATATGATAATGATTATATTTAGACATAGTACCTTCTGCTTAAGCGCAAATTGCATTTTGCATCATAGAGGAATAGTTCACCCAAAAATGTTATGTAATTACTGTCATATACGTTCCTCTGTGGAACACAAAGGAGAAATGTATCCAAGCTGCTCTTTTCCATACAGTGAACATGGATGGTTACCAGGGACGTCAAACTCCAAAAAGGACTGTAATATAGCTTTGCATGAGGAACAGACAGAAAATTTGTTTATGATCTCCCACTCCACTGCAGCTCTCAAATCTCATTTGAACATGCACATAATAATTCATATTTGGCACATCAAAACACAGTTCCAGATGTGACACCAGTGACACTAAATGGTCGTGGTGTTTTGTAACCGAATGCATCCAAATTTGAATTTGTAAAAGGGCTAATCATATTTCAGCAGTGTTGTTATTGTTTACTAAAACTGATTAAAACTACCTGAAAATAAGCTGAAATAAAATAAAAAATATTAGTAAAAAAACTTGAAAATTAGAAATGCTGCAGGCTAAAGTACTTTTTTATGGCTAACTAAATTCTAAAACAAAAACTGAAAATATAAAAATGTTCAAAAGTTCAAAATATTAATAAATAATATATTAGTATTTATTTTTAGCTGTACAAAACAACTAATTTTGCTGCTTTATACTGCAAATTGTTGTCTTACCATATTATTTTAGTGTAGTATCTTAATTATGAACACAGGTGGTTTGTAATAATAATAATAATAATAATGTTTAATTTATATAGCGCCTTTCCCAAGCTCAAGGACGCTCTACAAGGTACACCAAAGCAGCAAATATTGATTACAAAGAAACAATTTCATTGGACATTTGCCCAATTCAGTTACAAATAATGCAGTTGCATATAACACAGATTATGTAGTAAAGACAGAAATAGAAAACAAAACAGACAAATACACAATGTAAATTAGTGATAGTGTTGATTAAACAAATACGTTTTAAGCTTATAATGCAAACACTTTTACCGTTTTCTGCACGTTCTTATTCTTCTCGTTATTTCCCTAATGAACCGGAAGTCCATAGACTTACTTCCTAGTTTAAGAATAAGGTGGATAGGGGAGGAAATTACATCTTAAATTTAATTCTGTTCCTGACAAAGACTTCAGCATCATGTGGACATATGGAAATATATATTACTTTCACACCACCTGGTTACCTTATGTGTTCACTTCACAGAGAAGAGCAGCTTGGACATTGTTAAACATCAATTTTTCATGATTCATGGAAAAAAAATGAAAGTCATTTAGGTTTTAAGGAACATGAGAGTTAGCAAACAATGACAGAATAAAAATTTTGGGTGAATTAAAAATGCATTAAAGTGCTTCAAAAAAAATCAGAAAATGCAAAAATGGCATCTTATCACTAGTCCACCTGTCTCTTTATTTACGTAAACAGCAGTTTCCAGGGATTAAGTCTTTTAACAAAATAAAATTAGTGGTGCATGTCATTAACAGCGATTCCGACAACACTTGCAGTTATAAATACGTGGAAGAAAGCCAGAGCTCTGCATTATAGAGTTCCTTCCCACACAACTGAACATATGCAGATGTCCTTGCAGCCCGGCCTTGTCTGTTGAGTGTCTAATTAAGTGCATTTCACGCTCGTGTGGTCACTTTGACGAGGAGGTGACTGCGAATGACTGCGGGGTAATTGGACTGGATGTAACGTGTGCAGTCTCGAAACCACTTCCTGCCACCTTTGCGTATACCGTGCTGTTTGTGTGTGAGTGCTCTAACACGCTGTACAGTTGGGAAGATTTCCATTGCCCGCATTTACCCTTGAAGAGGAGACCTGTCCGTCCTGTTTATTGCTGGAAGAAACACATCCATTGATTTTCATTAGGACCCTCCTGTCCGTGTCTGGCATTGCAGATAATCTTCCCCCCTCTGCGTGTGGAGCTCATTGCACCTCCAGCTGGAGTGGTTACGCCACGTGGGCTCTTCAGGTGGCATCTCACGTAGCCAGATTAACCTTTTCGGCATGAACCTCCCATGTAAAGGAAGACGCTGTCTTGCTGATAGATCAAGTGACCGATAGGTCTGAAATGGGACACAAATTACTTTTGTTCCAAGTTGTTGACCGTGTCCTACCAACACTGTAAAACAAAACTTGGTTTTGGCTTATGTGGCACCACAGTGAAATCTCATTGGTCCAACATGCATATGTTCATATTGGCTGTGATTGTGTTGCATCACTTTTGCTGACTTAATTAATGCTCCTGCTTTGACTGAAGAATGGATTGGTTCAACAGGGTTATCACAGTACAATATGTTTGAGAAGGATTACGTACACCACTTTGTGTCCCATTCAGCAGACACAAGGCCTTGTTAAAGAGTTACTATTATTATACCCGCTAGGCCTTCACGTAAAGGCTCATCTTGTTTCAGCCTGCCCTTTAATTTCATTGTTTTATTTCGGCACCATCAGAAAATGTGTCAAGAAACCTAAATGAGGAGATGGGATAAGTGGTGAGAAAAATAAAAATGAGAAACGTGAAAGGTCAAACTAAATAGAGGATTTTTTCCTCGATCTCTTAATAATACAAATTCTCATTTAAACTCACTGGTTTCCTTCTGTTTTCCTAAAGAGATCTTATTGCACAGTTATGTAGCACTTGATCTGTTTCATCTGACAGTTGTTAAGTTTAGGTATTGGGTAAGATTAGGGATGTAGAATATGGTCATGCAGAATATGTGCTTTATAAGTACTAATAAACAGCCAATATGCTAGTAATGTGCATGTTAATAAGCAACTAGTTAATAGTGTGAAATTTCCCTATAGATGTCCCTATAATAAAGTGTTACCTATTTATGTAAATTGTGAACTGGCCATTTTTTCAATCGCTGTACAGTTGTACAATACACTGTAAAAGCAATTCATTAAACGGCGAATAAACCGATTGAGTATATTTGATGTAACTTAACTTGACATACCAAAAATTACAAAGTAAAGCACAAAAACTAGAAATAAAAAATAAAACTTGTGTTACTGATTTATTTCAATTCAGAATTTGTTTATGAATTTGTTATTTTAAATGTATGTATGTATTTATTTATTTATTTATTTTTATTGAACCAAGCTGGTAGGCAAATGTGGGTGGTCATATGTTAATGAGCTCATAATTGTAAGGTCATAATGCAAATTGATATGAGTCCTTTAATCGTGACTTCAGTGTTACTCTCATCTTTATGTTCACAGGCAGAGCCTGAAGGATTCTCTCATTTCCATTTGTACGTGTGCGCTGCCTTCCTGGTGAGATGGAGGAAAGAGATACTAGAGGAAAAGGATTTCCAGGTAAGATGTTTTTTTGTGTCGTGTTGTGCGGTCCCTGAGCCACAGTGTGTGTTGTCCTTGCGTGAGACCCCTCCTCCCTCATTAACTTGCAGGGTTGAGGGGTCAGTGCGCCTGCATTAGTGTGATGACAACAACAGCTGCTGTAAGGTGACATTGCGCCGTCCCTTTGAGACTCTTCTATTTCCTGTCCCCTCTCACACTCACTTGTTCCATGTGATCAAGAGGTAAAGGGTTTAGGCATGGGGGCTTGGAGAGGGCGGATGTGTCACCAGAAGTACAATATGAGTTTACTTATATAACCAAAATTCCATGTCTATTACTGGATTCTTGTGTCTTACTTTTCCTCATCCCATCAATCACTCAATCATCCCAGTTCAATGCCTGCAAATTTTTGATTTGTATTATTTATTTATTTAGAAATTAGTCATGATAATGTTTATAATATCATAATATCTTCATGCCTTCTACTTGAATTTAGCAGATTAGAGCTTGGCGATAATATAATTACTTTTTGCGATGATACAAGCAATCAAGCAGTTGAGATTTGCTATGTAGTGTATATATCATCCTACATGAGTTTACTGTATGCATGTAGATAAAGTTGGATATAATATATATTCAACGTTATATAGAGAGCTGTACGATAATACAGTTTACATTTTAGTTCACCCAAAAATGAAAATTCTGTCATTAATTACTCACCCTCATGTTGTTCCAAACCTGTAAGACCTTCGTTCATCTTCGGAACACAAATTAAGATACATTTGATGCATTCCGATAGCTCTCTGACCCTCTATAGACAGCTACGTTATTATCACGATCAACACACAGAAACGTAACAAGGACATCAGTAAAGTAGTCCATGTGACATCAGTGGTTCAACCGTAATTTTACTAAGCTACGAGAATACTATTTAACCGATCTCCTTGCTATGTTTCTGAGCCTTGATCGTGTAAGGACACTTGCTGTCTATGGAGGGTCAGAGAGCTCTCAGAACTCATCAAAAATATTTGTATTTGTGTTCCGAAGATGAACAAAGGTCTTACGGGTTTGGAACGACATGAGGGTGAGTAATTAATGACAGAATTATGATTTTTTTGGGGTGAACTATCCCTTTAATGTATTTGTCTTATTTTATAGTTTAACCAGGAATATCATAAATTACAAAAAAAAAGTGTCTTTGTAATAAACATGTAATAACTGTCTGAAAGTCTTTTTCAGGTTAGCGTTACTCAACCAAAAATTTTAATTCTGTCATGATTTACTCTCACTTATGTCATTCTAAATGCATATGTTCTTTGATTTCTATATTTTTTTTTCTGTGGGACACAACTGGGGCATTTCTGAAGAATTTAAAACACTATGATTGAATCATCGAGTCATTGACCACTCACGGATCAGTGAATTAATCATACTTTTGAGCCATTTTAAATTTTGAGCCTTTTAAATAAACTGGTTGATTTAAATATGCAAACTTTCATTCAGGAATGGAACTCCCACTTTCTACTATTAATTCGGTTTCTTATCGGTTTCTTATCAGTTCCTTAATAATCAAGTCACGTCCTGCTTTTGACTTTTGTCAGAATCACGTAATTTTACAGGTTTGAAAAGCATTCAAAATGCAGAAATCTGAGTGATTTTTTTTTTCTTTCTAAATCTTTGTCTTCTCTTTAAACTTGCATCTCTGTGGAGTGAATAGACTGCTCAGTGTGTGTTGTTGAATATGCAGCGAGTCAGTGGTGTGTATCAGCAGTGTGTTGTTGTGGGGCGGTTGATTTATTGTGTTTACAGTGCCCAGTGATTCAGAATTATCCCCTGCACCAGCTCTGCAGCACGCGGCTGCTGTTTGGCATTCAGACAACAGCCCCGGGCCTCAGTCTTTACCCGCCTGTGCCATGTGTCAGCAGAGAGATTATTTCCCCTATTCTGTCTCCTTATCCTTTTGTTTCACTGTATATTCCTTCCTTTTTTGCTGGTTTGTTTTCACACACATGATGGGATAAGCGATACCCTATTGTGCCCTGCAAGACCTAGACCAGTTAGAGGTATAGTGGTTTTATGGGAGATCTGTGGCGAAGAAGTTGACTTTGCTGCACCCAACCTATGATTTCACCTCCTCCAGTGCAATCTGTTCAGGTCAAGCTGCCCTAGACAAACAGTTCCCATACAATTCCTTGCTGCTTCTTGCCTTTTTTGAAGGGAAGAAGCAGGGAAGGCTGCTCTTAAAATAATTGGCTAGCTGTTTTCTGGAACATAGTGAGTTGCCTTTGTCTACATAGGCAGATGCCTTCTAAGGAAATGAAGAATCTGATTTGGAAGGCTCTAGATAGGAAGCAACTCCCTATGTGCTCTTCATGTTAGGCATACAAATGATTTAACTCATTTGTTTTCATGATGTTAGCATGTTGCTAAGCTATTGACACTACAGTCAATTATACACACAGAATGTTGTCAAAATGGCCATCTTGGGGAATATCCTACCTAAAACAGTTTACTTTAGTTATGTCTTATGTGAACATGAACATTTGGGAGAAAATCAGATGTGTGTCAGGATCCATGTAAAATATATGTGTTGTTGTCGTGAAGGTTTATCAAATGGCAAAAGAAAAAGGTTAGTTTGATCAGAGAAAATTGGGACCAGTGATAATTTTGCAGGGACTGTAAGAAATCTCAATTACTGAGTTGAAAAAAATTCATAGAGTTAAGCCTTGTTGTTGCTGTGCATTCTGGGATTGCCTTCTCTGCAATGAATGTTGCCTCAAAATGTTGTTTAGGTAGACTGCCCTTTAGGTTACTGATAGTCATGCAATACACAATTTTGGGGTTCACATAGTATAATGGATAGTGTGCAAAGTGAAGGATTTTGTTTTAAAAGTTAAGATGGAACAAAAAATGGCACATCACTATATTTAAAGTTGGGATGTGCAATTTTATTTAACAATAGTGTCACCGAACAGTATAAGAAAAATAATCAGGGTTTTCACACAGGTTTACTGAACACTCTCCCTGTCTTCCATTAGTTGGATAAACAGATGTTGGTTAATGTTGGTTAAGCCAGTGTTTCAGTTAGGCTGGTGCAGATGTTAAAATAAACACAAAAGTATTTGAATACTACCAGAGTTAATATAAAATATCTTTAACACACCTAAAATAAGTATTCATGTACATATCGTCATAGAATCAAGACAATGGAAAACTCTCTAAAAGCAAAGTGCACTTCCATATAGGATACGTTTTTTTATAAAATGTCTTTAAATTTGATTCTTCTCATGAATATAATTTTGATTCAGTGTGAGATATCGAGGGAAAGACCTGACGTGAAGTATTAAATAAGTCTCCATTCAGTGAGTTACGAGAGTGAGTTATGGTTCTATCCCAGCATATCAAACTGTGAAAATTAGTCTTGTCCTTTGGGACACTGGTCTTTCGTAGCAGTTGGATTTCAGGATGTGTCTTAAAGATGGCCTCTGGCTTTTCCTCTGTCTTTCTCTCACTCCATTTAGCACTTTATATATCTTTCTAAATATAAAAAAAGCATTTTTATTGTGGAATTTGTTCTCATTAGGACAGGTTTGCAAGAAATACTTAAAGCCCCATATTTTCTCAGATCTAATACACATGTAGTTTTTCAGGGGAATGCAAACTGAAGAGAGATGGATTGATGGGCGGAATTTTTTTTGTGATTTTTCAAGTATATCTTGCACACAGCAAGACTGTATAGAATGGATTTTGAGAGACTGAGTTGCTAACGAAGGCTTTCTTAATGAGCATAACAGTTAATGGCTCTTGAAAATGAAATCAGAAATTGTATAAATCCTTAATTAAACGCAATCCATAATAAATTGTTGCTGTCGGTAAATGATGTTTATTTAAAGGAATTGTTCACCCATAAATGAATATTCAGTCTCAAAATTAAATGCTTACTGTGATTTATAGTCTGCCAAGGATGTCCGAGCTTCAAAACATTCAAAACGGATGTTCGAGCTAGTCCCATATAATATTCAATGTCTCCTGAAATCATACAATTGTTTAGCATTATTTGCCTCTTCAGTTTAGTGAAATGTTATTTGCACTCTCATGCAGTCAAATATCAAAACACTTTGCATCAGGTTAAACGTCAATAAAATCAAACTTCACTGGTTCTGTCTCAAGACCAATTGTTATTGACTTCAGACCTGGTGAGGCGCATCTTGATGGGCCAGTGTAATGCAAGTAAGATCAGATCATTTTAGGAGCTCACTTTCATTGTATAAAGAGGAACGGCCTGGATATTCTTCTTTTGTATTCCACAGATGTAAGTTAGTTAGTCTTACAAGTTAGAAATTGGATGAGAGTAAGAAAATAATGACCAGAATTTGACATTTTTGCATGAACTGTCCCTTTTAAACATAATCTAAATGATGTAGATATCCATGCGGGTTTATTAACGTGTCAGAGGAGTAGGTGTGTCTTGTGTTTCACTGTGACTTTTGTCTGACCCCCTGGTATTTCAGGGCATTCTTAATGGCTTCTATTCTTGGCAGGAGGGCAATTAATGAGTATTGAAGCAGGGGGGAAATCTTTACTGGGACAGAGTAAAGGTTAAAAGGACTATACCACAGCGCCCTCATGGAAACCTGCTGTATGAACCAGTCTGACCCGCTTTTACCCTTCCTGCACGCCTCATAATGTGCATAATGATATATTGTCATCTTACCTGTAGGTATGGTTGGGGAACGGAAACTGTTCTTAATGAGAAATGGTACAGTTTTTGAAAAGATATTGGAGCTGAATGATGTTTGTGGTATTTGGTTCACGCAACATCTGCTTTTTTTGGCAAAGTGGGCATGAACAAGAATCTGAGCTAGTGTCAGGTTGTCATATGAATTTCTCTTGGCTGTATGCGTGTTCAACTTTCAGCCATGTTTCTTGCAGTTAAAAAATTGGTGCAAATGGCTTATTTTGTGGAATATAATTTCGACTTCATAGAAATCACACACATGAAATGCCTTACAGAACTATATAAAAAAATATAAAAAGCTGAGAATGATGCCCTGACAAACAAATTTAATACAGTGATTTATTTAAATTTGTTGCTTACAAAAATGCAATTAATCAAAATACACAATATACACAATGGAGAAAGCTAATTTTTGCCCCCATAATGGTGTTACAGCATTTGCCAGCATTCTCTAAACCAGATGTATTCAGTTGAAGTTCCAAAAGGCCAGTTGCTTCTGAGAATTCTTCTACAAAAAAAAAAAAAAAAAAAAAAAAAAAAATATAAAAATAAAAAAAAATATAA